GCAGTGTCATTAGAGAAATATTTTGGTGTTTGTTTCTAACACACTCCAAATGCCGCAATAAATAAAAGTTATCTCAAAGTGCCCATGAACATTTACTCATATTATTATCTTTTATGCCTTTAATTAAGCCCACCTACTACAATAACATATCAACGTGATAATAACAGATGGCTCAGAAGTGAAAGGTGGTCAAAGACGACCATGCGGGTCATTGCTCATTTATTCGAAGAACACCATCTGTATACAGCCCCAAGAGTGCCCTCTGTCTCCTTTAATTGGAACGCACTCCCTGCAACAATGAAGGTGGTAAGCTTATTAAACAAAAATTCGCTCAGTCGGTGTCTCTAAACCAGGAAGCAAAGAACTTTTAATCACGTAAAGATGACTTAGGTTGTGTATATACCCCTGTTTCACGTCATGGCGAGAGACAGCATGTCATCGGAACAATATTATCTTGTCTGGGATTAAGATCTCGATTGGGAATGTTGAGCTGGAGCCAGTGGCACTAGGCGATCAAGATAAATTGCGGCTTCTACCCTAGCGTAAGTTCATGGTTGGTGGTTGACGTGTTCATTGTGTTGCATTGTAGTGCGTCATCATGTCTCATCCACTTGCAGTCAGTACTTGTGAAGGTATGTTCAAAAATGGTACTTAAGCCATTGTTAGGAATCTAGGTCCAAGTATCTTCCATCGGTGCATAAGAGCTGGATTTGAGTAACGGCTTTCTTTTCCATCAGTGCCTTTGGCATTTGAGTATTTCTTTTAACGTTTTCGTGCTAGAAAGGCATTGAAGCTAGGTTTTCATGGCATTTGAGGGCTGTTCATGAAATGCTGACTTAGCTGAAAGGCTTTTCATTTTGTTGTGTTGTTGTCTCAGTCATGGTCACACAGCCTCCTATTGCGTTATAATATTTCCCTTCGTAGGATTGCTCTTTGCATGCTTCTTCAGTACTTTATACTATGATGAAAACAGGTACTACCAGGTGTTGATTGCGGTAATCTTATCAGGAGTTCCACATACTTTTCACTACCTTCATTTGCACACAAAACAAGAAGCCAAAGTATGGTGTTAATATTTGCTTTGAGTTTTCTGTCCTTGATGTATTTTAACCAGGATCGTTGCAAAGATTATTCTATACCGGGGGTGCACCCAGAATAAGCAAGGTGCCTCAGGGGGAGCAGAGAGGCAGGAAACCTAGCCATTGTGTTATGACTATGTTCCCTCTTGGAACATAGTCATAACACATAGTCATACCACAACACAGGGGTCAGGCAAAAATGTGGGGGGGGGCAGCATCTATGTACCTACCCTTGGCACCACCCCCAATTTCAGCCTTTGTCATCTGACTGCTTACGGCCACGTGTGATAGCTCTTCTTCATGCACTCGTTTTTTGTCAGTTACTTACAAGCCTTATCAGTTGAAGACGGTTCATGTGATTAGGATAAACCTGTATCAGTTCTTTTTTTGTCATTTGCTGATGGCGTATCTTCCTTATCTTTTCTCAATGCACCTTATCCTACTTGGCTGGAAGATCAGCAGAATTACAGCTTTCAACTCTTAGCAGGTTTTCATGCACTGTAAAAGTAATCATTGCTCCTTTCTTCTGCATTAAGTTTTGGATTGTTGGCATGTCAGTACTTCTACTCTCAGCTGGTGACCTTTTCGTAAGTAAATCTTTTTGTACTGGATGCACTGCTCAATCAGCCAGCCTTTGTGGCACAGCAGAAAACTTGAAAAGTGAGGACTAATCACTACAGGCGTGCCCTTTCTTGGTTGCGGCTAGTGCATTTTTGCAGTGGTGATGTGCTCAGTATGTATTACGAGCTAGAGAAACAGGGCCTCTTCTTTTAGCTAGCTGCAAATCAGGTGCAAAGACAACTATCAACACTTACCAAGTACATAGCCCCTTCCGGTGAATTATGATGCACAGCCAATAGATTTGTCTAATTCAGATAGCACAATCACAAAGTACTCAATATTACATTACATAAAAAAATGGCGTGGTCTTTTGTGTGACCTTCTTCCAGCAAGCCATTACAATTTCTATAAAATAAATACTTCGTCAGTTAGCTATATGTTATGTTTAGTTTTCACGTAAAAATAATGAAATCAGAAGTTCCCGATTGTAGTACAATTAGTTTTTCATTGCATTTATTTCCAGAGAAGAGGAGCAACACTTGACGTTAGTTCTGGATCATGACTTGAACAACCGATCAAAGATAGCAGTCCTTTCACTAAAGTGATCAGCTATGGTTGTACCCAGAATACTGAGGTCAAGTCAGCACATACTGGTTAGGAAGAAGGTTCAGTTAATCTAACGGACTATGTAATTTATTCTATTCTGGCTACAAGTTGACATAGCTAGCGTACGCAATTGACGTACGCGAATGTAGCCACTGCTGTTAAATTGTTATAATCGTTTCCCTTAAAAAACGTTCCTGTTAGCAATTACAAGTTCGCATAAACCTTCAAAATACTCGAACACGGGCCGTGTGCACTTATAACCTATGATATGGGCGGAACTTTGTGTGGTGCAAGGATAGGGGGTGACGTCCGCGGTCTTAAGTGTAGGCAAGTCGAGTATGTGGTATTTGGTGCTCGGTATCTCATTGCTGAAAATTTCAAGGGTGGGCCATTTACCAGCGTCCCGTTACTTGGCTGCACCACTGCATTACCAATGAAGCACCCATGTTGCGCTTTTGTGCCTTCAGTGGCTCATCAATCAAACTGCCTCTCTAGTGTACGTGACCACTTCAGCCATTACTAATACAGATAAGCCTAATAGTTTGATTGGTATGTTAAACTAAAAGTGAAAAGTGTTGTTGTAGTTTGAGAAGTCTTGAGGAAACATGTTTTTGTACTCATGAAACCACTACAAAGTTCATGTGTTTAGAGCAGCATAAGTCAGAAATATAAAAAATTTGGGAACAGTCATATGCACCACCTACTCTGGCCAACTGAGCTGTTCAATTACCCTTGCTTTTAGTTCTGTTTGACTCCGTCACTGAATATAAGACGTCTTGAAGACACATATACCACAAAATTGCATGCATAGTATGTGACAATTAGGATAAATGAAGTAGTTATTTTCTGATCACAACAATTCTGTTTGCTCCTCTACACTGAGTCTGGAGAAAGGAAACTAAAAAGATATGACTGAGGTAGATTGAGAAGCACTGTCATACTAAAATGTGCAGCTGCTGACGGCACAGGCAACAGTCTTCAGTACTACAGACAGTCACTAACTCTAAATTGGTGGTTGTAATAACTGTAACAATTGTAGCTTCTAAGATTTAATCATAGATGATGCCTTTAAATTTTGATGACCAGTCCTCACAACAGCTGTCAAATGATCCTCCTCATTTTTTGGAGATTACCGCGATTGGCGACACATCCTCGAGTTTGTTCAGCTCTCGAAAGACATCAAGCTTGCCTTAGCCACCTCACTAAATGAAAAATAATAAAAGGTAGCGGGTGTAAAATAAAACTCTATACTTTACAAGAACTAGCTTGAAACATCTGTGCATAACACTTCCTTCTTTTCTCAAACTTTGAAAAAGAGAAAAGAGTAGGCAAGGAAGTTGTGGTTTTTTATTTGATCAAAAAAAAAAACGCGACGCCGTAAGCGTGCGTGTTTTTTATAAATGATTTAGTGGACGTGGTGTGTGTTCTACGCATCAGCTCATATGAAATCGCAGAAACTTTCTTATGCGCGTTCTACTGCGGGCCCAATTAAGTCTACGCACTGCAGATGTTGTGGCTTTGGCTGCAGTTTTGAAGTATATATATATATATATATATATATATATATATATATATATATATATATATATATATATATATATATATATATATATATATGTAATCAACAGAAACGTTCAAGAACACATTTCTAACTCGCGACGACCTACGAAGACAAGGTGGCTGTCACCCACGCACTCCACCACACCTTACCAACCATTCACTGGGATGTAACTTCTGTGGTCGTTGCGCAACAGGATGCGTACGTCGGTGCGTGTGTCAGATTACGGCAACTACGTGTGTCGTACTATTCAATCACCGTAACGCAACTGATAGTTCCAGTTCCAACATTTCAACCACTTGGGTACCATAACTAGTGCAGCACTGTGAACACTAAAGAACCAAATAGGTCACGGCGATAGCAGAGCAGGACAAACGATACAATACAATTTGGGTCCCTCATTTGTGAAGTCTAAAGCAGTAGGCATCGCTTCGCTGGCGTGATGCAACGAAACGAACGTTGGCGCGCGCCATATCACGTCAAAGTGCATCGCGAACGGCAGCGGCATCCTCGGTTGCTTCATATTGTACAGATCTGCACGATTTTCACCAGGGAAAGCACCGCAATGGACGTCACGCAGGCGACAAACTCGAGAACTTTTTCTCAGTGAAATTGTCTACTTTGCGCAACTTCAATCAATAATCACGCATTCCAACTAGTTATGCATGATATAATGACACAAATATTTTTCTCATCCACCCGGCATATTAGTCTCTCAAACTTGAAAAATCGACGCGTGAAGTGGGACTAAAACAGTGCCAAAAAGTACCAGACAAAGAAATTGACTCCTATCAGTCCGATAACGAAGTATACGCCGGCAATAACGTTCGAATGACGGCTCAATACTGACGGCATAATTTCATGGCTCCACCCATATTGGCTGCTGCTTGTACAACTAGGTCTAATGTGGCCGTTCAAATACGCTCGCATAGCCAATATTGGTAGAAGCTTCTAAATGCAGGTCCAACATCACCGTTCTATGAGACTGGCACTGCCATTATTGGCAGAACGTTGTCAATGGTGTCCCAACGTAACCATTCTATTCGGCTGGCACAGCCATTATTGGCGGTGCGTTGTCAATCAGGGCCATTCTTGGGCTAGTAACTCCCAATTTATCCCGAACATTGGGCCAACGTTCTGTGCTGCATGAGCAGTGTAATGATAGCTCCTATCTCAATGAAATAAAAAGTTGAATAAGAATTAGGCCTTTTTATTGATGCGCAACACCCCTCGCAATATCTTGCAAAATACTTGATGGGTTATTACTTCATTCGGCTTTCTTCAGTTCTGCTTTGGAAGTGCAATTTCCTAGAACACAGATCTGCAAATATACAAAATCGCATAACTTGATTACAGTAGGAGAACTGATATGCCGTGTGAGCTTTAAAAACAATAAGATAATTTTTTGCCCTCGCACATTTGATAATACTTAGTACCGGAACATGTTTGCGACTAACGAAACAATGTTTAGACGGTTTATTTTACTCTATGATAACAATAGAAAGCATATTCTTTGTACTTGATCAACGAAATATATTAAAAAGACAAAAAGAAGTAGGTAGAGGAGCCGCACTTTTCCGTTAATATCATTGGCCTTCCGCTATTATAAAATATCTGTCCGCGTGCTCTATATAATTCTTCCCTTTATCTTACTTCAGTTTTCATTTGTGAATTGCGATATATTTTACTCACTCATATAATGAATGTTAGCGGCTATCACGCCTGATATTAATAAAATATATTGAATTCATCAGTCAAAGATCTCTGATTGCGTTAGAAGCACACTGCATGCACCAGAAATCTCCAGCATAAGGACCCTTGTGCGCCTTGTAAAAGTGAAATAATTGGCGCGCACTGTCCATTCACAGTCACTGCCATAAAACTTCTGCAGCACTGATCAACACGGTGACACGCAAAACCCATTGTGTAAGTTCGTGAGCTGTACACTGTCAGATTTATCTTTCCAAAGAAATGTTTCCAACAGTTTTAGAAATTTACCTATATGCAGCATTAATTACTATATGCACCATCATATGATAAGTTGGAGTAATATTACGGTTTTTCTGATAAATATTACAGTAACCTGTTTATTAGAAGCGCCACGGGCACATGTCGACTAAAATAATCAAAGTTGTTTCTGCTGAAAGCCCATTGCGACATTAAGATTTCTCCTTGAGCTGTCCGTCACCCTACTGAAATGGAACGAAAACATTGCGGCGTATTTATCAGGGGCAGTGGACTGGTTCGCCCGCTGTGACACCAAATGTGTAACTGTTACACTGTCAGCCAGACTAAGCTTTTCAAGGATAAAACGTTCAAAAGCTTGTTTCGAAGGTACTGCGGCATCAAAGTCGGGGTCGGTTTCAGCATGGGCATGAATGGCTGTCACTGGAAAATAGTCATCGCGAGAGTGACCGAAAGGTTGATTAAAATAAGAACAAAATAATAAACTTTTCAGGACCGAGTGAGTTTCGAACCCCGGCCCTTAGTGTGTGAAGTAGGTGTTCTACCACATAGCCATGCCTACTTTTTCTTTCACGAAATTTGTAAGCCTTGTAAACGTAAATAAATACCTTATTCTGCTTGTAAATGCAGTGAAAGATTCATGATTCGTGAAAAGTTCACGCAGTTCATGGTTCATAAACGCGCGCGTCCTGTATACAGGCTTCACAATACTGCTAGTATTATCCCAGTAGTATTGCGTGGTAAAAGCGTAGTATTTCATCGGATGTCAGAACACATGATCATCCTAATGACTTCACGGTTCAAAGCAAGCGACACCTTACAAAAGTCACGTACATTACTGTACGTGTTTTCTTACGCCATAGTGAGTGCAGGATTGCTACAAAATACTTCATGAGCTCATTGTTTAACACATGCGACCCATTGCACAGTTTGCAGCCTTATGCGGAAGCTTCACTGACACAAGTCACTTGCAACCTCATGGTTAGGATTCTTTAAATGAGGGCTGGACAGAGATAGAGATAAAAGTATTCCGAAATACAGGTATTCAAATACTTGGATACAAAGGTTAAAATACAGGTGCTGAGACACAATTGTTGTAGGCTTAAGGAGATATTTCGGAGATACGTTTGCAAAAACGAGACAAAGGCATTCCGGAATACAGCTACAGAGATATTGACACAGGATTACGCAAACTGCTATCTCTTTTTATATCTCAGATGCTGATGCCCCATGAAGGCATTTAGTCGGTTCAGAAACATCATCATAATCATCATCATCAGCCTGACTATGTCTACCGCACGACAAAAGCCTCTCCCATTTTCCACCAGTCAACTCGGTCCTGTGCTTCCTGCTGCCACTTTATACCCGCAAACTTCTTTATTTTTTCTGCCCACCTAACTTCCTGTCGCCCCCTAATCCGCTTGCATTCTCTGGGCGTCCAGTCAGTTACCCTTAATGACCAGCGGTTATCCTGCCTATGCGCTACATGCCCGGCTCTTGTCCATTCCCTCTTCTTGATTTCAACAATGACATCTTTGACGCCGGATTGTTCCCTGATCCACTCTGCTCTGTTCTTGTCTATTAAGGTTACGCCTGTCATTTTTGTGTCCGTCGTTCACTGCATCGTCCTCAATTCAAGTTGAACTTTCTTTGTGGGTCTCCATGTTCCTGCTCCATAGCTAAGTACCAGCGAGATTCAGCTGTCATATACCTTCCTTTTGAGGAATAGTGGCAATCTACCATTCATGATTTGAGAGTGCTTTGCAAACGTGCTCTACCCTATTCATATTCTTCTAGTTACTTCGATCTCGAGATTAAGCTCTACAGTTATTACCTCTCCTAAGTAGACGTAGTGTGTCACAACTACATGTGCACTAGTACCTATCTTGAAGCGCTGTTCTCTTCTGAGGTTGTCATACATTATTCATATTCTTCTAGTTACTTCGATCTCGAGATTAAGCTTTACAGTTATTAGCTCTCCTAAGTAGACGTAGTGTGTCACAACTACATGTGCACTAGTACCTATCTTGAAGCGCTGTTCTCTTCTGAGGTTGTCATACATTATTCATATTCTTCTAGTTACTTCGATCTCGAGATTAAGCTTTACAGTTATTAGCTCTCCTAAGTAGACGTAGTGTGTCACAACTACATGTGCACTAGTACCTATCTTGAAGCGCTGTTCTCTTCTGAGGTTGTCATACATTATTTGCGTTTTCTGCTGAATATGTTAAGACCTACTTTTCAGCTCTCCTTGTCTAGCTCTGTAATCATGAGTTACCATTCGTCGCCTGAGTTATCCAGCAATGCAATGTCATCAGCAAAGCGCAGGTCGCTAAGGTGCTCTCGATTTAACTCTTATCCCTAACAGTTTCCACTCTAGGCTTCTGCAAACCTGCTGTAACCACGCGGTAAATAGCATTGGTGAGATTGTATTCCCCTGCCTTACACGTTCCTTGATTGGTATTTTGTTGCTTTTTATGGAGCACTATGGTGACAGTTCATTTCTCGTAGATTTTTTTCTGAATGTTCAGAGGCATACCATTATTTATGTTTCAAAACATCTGAACTTGCAAGTGAAAAACTATATTTTATAGCGAAGGCCAGTGCAAAAAAACATACATGTTTTAGACACAAGCTCTTTTAAACACAAGGTTTTTGCGTTAGCTGCACTTCATCAACAGAACTTCTCACATCGGTTGTAGTTTAAACTGTGCGATTCAGCCTCAAGACAAGGCTCTTCAACACGAAAAAGGTGGAATACCTGGCATGAGAGAAAGTTACTTGAGAAGATGTTACACTCCGTAACTCCGCTGCCAGCAGCGTCAGGCAATTTCTAAATGCGAAGCATTTCTTGGCGGAATCGACCACTTTGAGCGTATCTATCTATCTATCTATCTATCTATCTATCTATCTATCTATCTATCTATCTATCTATCTATCTATCTATCTATCTATCTATCTATCTATCTATCTATCTATCTATCTATCTATCTATCTATTTATCTATCTATCTATCTATCTATCTATCTATCTATCTATCTCTCTATCTATCTATCTATCTATTTATCTATTTATCTATCTATCCCGACAATTATTTTTGGGTGCTCTCATGGTCACCCTTTTAACTTGGCGTGAACCAAAATTAGCATTGGAGGGTAAAATGGTTTGACGATTACGACGTGCTGGCCAAATCAAGAATAATCTCACAGTCCCGTCGCGTATGTGGTCAAACACTTCCCGCCAGACAGTGGCACATACCCATGGGCGGGTTTGTGCCGCTTGTATGTGGGTATGTGCGACAGGTGAATGACACATATTATCTCCCCAGGGAGAACGAGAATACACATAAGCCATTTCAATGCTCTAGAGTTAAGAGATACCCGACATTGGTAGCGTAGACCAGACGAATGCAAAGAAGAAATGTCAGGGTCTTAGCTAGAGTCAAACCCAACCATATTGCGTCAGTATGAAGCATTTTATGAAAGAGCTACACCAGAACTCGGAACTACCTTTAGAATAGATGCTAAACTTCCCGAAACGTCAATAATGATTGCAGTGCTGAGTACCAATTTTATAAACACTACAATTGTACTACGTTGATACAGCCATCACGTCAGGTTAATATCAATTGTGGTGAGCTGCCATGCGCTGAAGTTGATTTATATCGCTGTGTCCAGGGTCAAGATCCTCGCAAGCACCAGCGCTTTATATCAGCTTCTGGTGTTGCTAATACGGATGTTCGAGTTGGCATCATTCCGCTTGTGCAAATAACTGGTTGTAGAAAAATCTGCAACTCTTCAACACTTTCTGTCGGCTCAACATTTATACATATGTTTAGTGTCATTTCATCACGTGCCACTGAATAAAAAATTGCCACACGGTCACCTTCCTTCCGCACACTCCGCGTAACGTTGATTCCCAGGTACGCGGGATCTGCCAGGTTTTTATTACTTGGGCGATTGCGAGCTACGCTTTGCCTGGCACAGCGTCACTGACTGCTAATGTATGTTCACATGCATTGGGACAATATTCTGCCTTCCTCTTTGTAAACACGTTCCGGAAGAGAGTAGCCATATACCCGTTCAACTCCTAAACTGGAAGCCTAACGGTCCTTCAATTTTTTCTGCTCCTATCTAGCGTTTACTGCCCTTACCAGTTTTTAGGAACGCTTTAAATATTTGTTTTTGCTCGACATACATTTCATGCTGAATGAGAGTATCCTTGAACATGGAAATGTCTGGTGTGTGGCACGTCAAAGATGCTCCGTGATACATCTGTCACCGAAAAGGTGAAGAACAACTTCAGCATTGTCGCGAAGCTGAGGCGCTGGATCATTAGTTACGTGCCGCATTCTTT